TTGAATTGTAAGGTATGCAACACAGTTTTAAACGAATTTTTCTCAAATTTTAAAGCAATAATTTAGAATTTAATTTTAAATTGCTCCAAAAATTTTGTTTAATATTACTGAATATTTTTAAAGTTATAACAAAAAAAAAATAAGAAAAAAAAATTCCTTTTTTNAAAAAAAAAAAAAAAAAAAAAAAAAAAGAACGCAAGACCAAAAAAATTAATTTTTTTTATAAAAATGTCCATACTTCCATCAATGTTGAAGCTAAGTTTACGAAATTTTGTGCAATTATTGCATAAAATAAGCAATCTAATTGTTTCGAGTTATAAACTTATTGTTACAATTTATATACTTATTGCTACATTTTTTAGCATACCGTGTTCAAAAACATTATTTTTTCCATTTGTAATCTATTACCCATCCCTCAAACTTTAAATTTCGTTGATATGCATGAGAAATCGCATGATTTACACACTTCTGAAGCTATAAAATTATTCTTTAAGTATTTCTTGAGAAGTGAGGAAAAAAAAAGTTTTAATGCAGAAATGTTTCTATGATTTTGTCCAACCCCTGCAAATGGTTCGAATGTCATTGGCGTGACAGTGGGATGTCAAAATAGAAAGGACCGCTGCCCTTTATGGCGTCTCTAATGGCTACCTGATTGTAGACTGAGATATCAAACATAACGGTGATAAACAATGGGGTAAATGAATTGCAGTTAAGATTGAATGTTTAACGGTATTTCGGAGTTGAATACATTCATTTAATAGAGGGAGTTGACTCTCCCCCATTTACGTGACAGCCGATGACTTCGTCTTGATAAGAAGACAGAACACTTATTTTCATCTAATGATAAAACAGTATGGGAGAGACTAAAAAAGACACTTGTACAACCACTTCCCACGTCCAAATATTTCCCTTATGATATAATAAGATCTATTATGGGACAAAAATCATTTTTCTAAGTAATCATTTTTTTGAAGTAACACTTATATTCAAAACTGTATTGTTATAACAAATTTGGTGAGGTCACAACTATAATGTAATATTTTTTCTTACCAAACGGACGGATGTATATTTTAAATACAATTTTCGCATTCATCTCTTTGTGCATGCATCTGATAGTTCTAAATCATTTAACGAATCTCTTTAACCGTCATTCATAATAGCATATTAATGTAATTTGCACCCAAGAATAATTTTTTTTTTTTTTTTAAATTACACCCGCCATCGTCTTCTCAGACATAAGGTGTCTTGCAGTCCAATACAATACTGAAGTATCTCCAGAAGGTGAGAGGTCATCAGAGGAACGAATGTCAAGAAGAGAGGGGCAATCTAGAGCCCCTGAATTAGACAGGCCGACTCATCATCTATTTTTGCTCCAAAGAGCTAACATAAGCACAATACTAACATAACGTTAACTTGTGAACTTTTTTGCTCCAATATTGCTTGATAGGTCAGCTCTGATAGTATAGGAGCCNAAATCAGGTAAATACAAAAATCAATGTTTGAGGGAGGAATGAGGACTTCAATACTTTAGCTTCGCGGAAAATTTAATTCCTCATAAAATATTTTAACTTGTGCAAAAAAAAATTTCAGCGGAAAAAATGGAAAAATCTGAAAAAAAGCGGAAATCCGCGAATCCGCGGAAGAATCACATCCCTGATAATAGCATATTAATGTAATTTGCACCCAAGAATAACAATTGTTTTTTTTTATTTATTTATTTTTTATTTATTTTTTTCTTTATTTATTTATTAATTTTTATTTTTTTAAAAAAAAAATTACACCCGCCATTGTCTTCTCAGACATAAGGCGTCTTGCAGTCCAATACAATACTGAAGTATCTCCAGAAGGTGAGAGGGCACAAAAGTCATCAGAGGAACGAATGTCAAGAAGAGAGGGGCAATCTAGAGCCCCTGAATTAGACAGGCCGACTCATCATCTATTTTTGCTCCAAAGAGCTAACATAAGCACAATACTAACATAACGTTAACTTGTGAACTTTTTTGCTCCAATATTGCTTGATAGGTCAGCTCTGATAGTATAGGAGCCTTAGGGCAATCAAATAAATGCTCCCCAGTCATAGGCGAAGTAGAATAACAATTGTAAAACGGTTAATAAGATCAGACGCCGATTTAAATAACTTTATCTTTGATATAACGTAGAATTACGTTATTCCAACAATAATAATAATAAAAACAATCCTCTTAAACTCTTAATTTAGAAAACAAACAAAATTAAAAATCTAATAATAACAGTACAGGTAAATACCTTTAAATTAGGGATACGAAAATATTTATAGGAAAATAATACATTGACGTTTTATATCAATTTTATGCTGATGACAACCAAACCAATCAGAAAATGAATGTGGGAAAACTGGATCCTACCATCTGATTTTTCGGCCAATAATACCGACAACAATGGAAAACTGTGACACCAGCATTATATATGCTAAATTTGTGACAAGAATTTTACATAACTAATTTATCATCAAAAAAATATTGAAATATTGAATATTTATTTCAAAAATAAAATTTTGAAATTGAAAATGAAAAACAATCTTGAAAACATGCTTTTTGTTATAATTTTCCTTCACAACGACGTGAAATTCCCCTTATTTTTAACTTGTTTTTTTTTTTTTAAAAAAATAATAATAATACATAAATAAAATAAATAGTGACCTATGCACGGTCTTTTTTGAGTTATAAATAAATTTTCGTCGCTAAATCATATTGCATTTGTATTTTACAAATATCCCAGTCGCATATCCAGTTTTTTCTTCTTTTCAAAATATCTAATGAAAAAGTATACTTATCTATAATCTAAAGAACTTATTAGGAAACAATTAATGGCAAACATATAGTTAAAATTAAAAAGAAATTTTTTTTTTTATAAAGTGAAGTTTTATGAAGTCGTAATCTTTTAGCATTTACGAAAATCGCGAACGGTAAATTTCGGCACTTATTCATTTGCTTTCATAAAAATATAAGAATATTTCTCTTAAGCTAGGTTGAATTGTTGGACTTTTTATAAATAAATTATAAAATTAAGCACGTTATTGCTTCGTAGTCTATGAGTCAAATTATTAGTTACGAAATAATATTGATTTAGTTTAGTTATCTTGGGTTCAATCGTAGTCTATGAGTCAAATTATTAGTTACGGAATAATATTGATTTAGTTTAGTTATCTTGGGTTCAATAAAAGAATATGAGAAAAACTTCTTTGTTTACTTATAATCAACTTCTGCAACAAACTTGATTATCTCAAAATCTTTTGAGAAAAATACACAGCTCTTTAACTTGAATTTCCTTTAGTAAGAGTTTTTAAAATTGAAGTTTAAGCGAGAGATTACCCATTTTACCAAAGGGAGTGGTCAGGTATTTTTCTTACCCGGTCCATGTCATAACTTTGATGCACTGAATCGTATTGAAAATAAATTATTTTCATTTTGTTCCTTTACAGGTCCTTTTAAATATTACATAAGCACCAAAAGGGGCTTCTGCTTATTTTTTTTGCCGATGAGGGGGGGGGGCGGGAGGACTATGAACAATGCCTACAAAAGATTCTAAAATTCCTTTTCAATATTTTTTTTAATGCAAAAGAAAGTAACAAAAAATTTAGAGAAATTACCTATGGAAAAACTTAATTGAAGTATAAGTTTATGGAAAAACTTAATTGAAGCATAAGTTAAATTTTTTTTACGGCTAATAATCGTTGATTCTTTCATGCGACAGAAAAACCAATACTTGCCTCTCACACCTTGCCAGTGGGCATCTAAAATGTCTTACTTTTTCTCAGGGTATAAAATCTTACCCTCTTTGCCCAAAATGCCATCAACATATCAGTGATCCAGCGGGGGAGGGGGTCATTGGGGACATACCCCCCCAAATTGAAAAGAAAATTTAAATAATAATTTTTTTAATAGTTTGCAATAAAATATTTTAAAAATTATTTAAGTGGGCATAAGGTGGATTCTGAGTCTATGATCCCCCCCCCCAGGAAAAATTTCTGGATCCGTCCCTGGAACATATTTTAAACTGCTTGGGACTTCTTCGGGAAGAAATTTACACTTCTTCTCTCCTTGTTTCCGACTTTTTACTCGTCAACGGATTTATGGATCTGGTCTGACACCGTCACACCTTTGGAGATAAGTAACAACAACAACAAGAAGAAAAAGTTAAATTTGGAAAAATAAAATGTCCGCAAGAAATTTCTTCAAAGAGTTTCGGAGGTGAAGAATTTCGAAAAACATTACAGTTTCCTTACAAATATTACTGATAATTTTGAATTAAAAGGTAAATAAAAACGTAAATTTTGTTTTATTTTAAGTTACATCTTTTATTAGATTTTTAATTCTAAAATTAGATTGCTACAATAGAAGATACATTTAAAGCAATAAAAAAGGGGGTCCAGGCGGGGATGTTGTGAGTTTCTTACGTAAGCATTGGAGAGTGGTTTGTGATTTGCTTATTTTAGCAACTTTCATATTTTAAAATTTTCAATTATTATATTAAAATTATCATTAATTATTTCTTTATAACCTCTTATATTGCCAAAATTCCGCTAACATACTGTTTGAATGGCCCTTTTAAAAATGACCGTTATGTTTTAATTCGTTTTTTTATTTTTTATTTCTTCCTTTTTATTACTATTATTATCATTATTTTTGAAATTTTGATATGGATATGCAAGAAATTTTTAGTATGAGATTGACTTTAGAGGCGAAAAAAAATGTTAAAATGTGCACACTAACAGAAAGAATTTTTTTTAAAATTTATTCAATGCTTTAGAGAAAAACTTATTAGTTTAACAAAGGCCGGAATTGAACTTTCTTTAATCACTTTATCCATAAATTCGTAAGCATTTCATTATTTTTAAAATATCATTTTATTGTGTTTTTTTTTCACTATGAGATGTTCCATTAAATTGTATATCGTGAATTAAATAAAAACAAAATGAATACAAAATTTCTCCTGAAGTTTAAAACAAATAGAATTCTCACCTGTTTCAAAGAGATCTAAGAGATAATAGTAGTCCTTGTCAAAAATCCATCGACAGTTTCGGAACTTATTATTGTATCTGAGGTAGGTAGACTCCTGGTATGTAGTGTAGCAAACTTCCCACAATCCTACTCTTTGAAATCTTTGATAAGGAAGAAGACCATCGGATTGAAGCCAATAGGGTGTCGAAAAAGCAATGGTGATGAGCACGACAGCGATTGCGAAGCAAGTTCGAGCCCCGATTTTGGCACAACCCATTATGCTGGACAGTCTTTACAAATTAAAAATCTTCTTCTAATATCCAAAGTTCGAATGAGAAAGAAATAATAATGATAAGTTCCGTAGGAATGATCGATAATTACTTGTGGAAAAGCCAATCACTTATGCAAATTATAACCAAGTCCATGCCAGTTGTGTCAAAATGGGAGAATCATATCCAGATTGGTGTGGAAAAGAAACGTTCGATTGGATGAAATGTGATGAAGAGTAGCAAGAGCAATTTTCTTTTCTGATAAGAAAACAGAAAGTGTGTTTAGTGGGTGTCCACCTTGCTGTCGAATAATTACGTCAGAGTTCGTTTCTGAAATGTTCTGAAAGTTGCAACAACGCTATTTCCTTTTACTATCGAGCGATTTGCAAATTCAGCAAAAGACAATTCATTTCGCAGAGTCACCTTAGCACCGGAAGTAGTATATAAAAAAGAACGTTTCGTACCTAGTTTCTAGGTGGTACCAAAGACAGTCATTGTTCTTTCAGAATATGAAGAATGCCGAACGTTCGGAAAGGGGTGGGGTGAGAGGATTAATCAAGTATCAGAAAAAGTTGTCTTTATTGCCGAATGACCCACTGAGCGGCACTAAGCGGTTTTTTTCTGTGAAGAAGCATTATTTATGCATTATCGAACGACCGTGAAAATCGTTTGCTTTCTTTTATAGATATGTATGTAAATTTCATTTTCACCTTGCATGGTATATTGATTTCAAGACAGTTTCCGTTTCCATATTCGATTTCTAATTTAGCAGATCTTTTAAATTTTAGGAAAAGCGGATCTTAATAAAAACAAAGATAGATAAGAGAAAAGCCTTTAACCTCACTTTCTGTTTTATGCATCGCTGCATGTCGAAAAACAGATAAGTTTGCAGATGTTTATTGTGTAAGAAATTTCATATAACTGTGTCAAACTATTAATTATATGATTCAGCTATATTGTAATTACTAGAACATAAAATCGTGTAACGGCTTTCTAACGGATGATGGAGTTTTCTTTTAATTGTCACAAATTTAATGCGAAGTGAAATGAAATAGTCTTAACAATGAAAGGATTTCATTTTATTCCTTTAACTTGAATTTAAAATCATTAGAATCGAAGAGCGATATAGAGAACGCATTGTAATCATAGCAATACAGCGATTATAGTTTATGCTACCAGTGGTTCAGTGAAATATCGCTAAATACCAGCGTTACTGCATAACTTTTTAGCGTTACAGCGAGCGTTATTGCATAACAATTCCATATTTATTAGAAAAAAAATTTAAAACTGCTCATGGTGTGCATTCGACACAGTTGGCGACTGGCGATTATTAATTTTATCCTATAGAATAGTGTTTCCCAAACTGTGGTACGCGTACCCCCAGTGGTACGTGAGCAGTTTGGCGGAGGTGCGCGTTCTTATGCGAAATATCTTGCAACAAACGAAAATATCAAAAACTTTTATTTGAAAACAAAGCTATCCATGAAAATTTACAATTACGTATTTTTCTATTGTCTATTTTTTGCAGAGTTAATAGTAAATAATTAGTGGTGTCAACAGCTAGTTGTGATTTTTAAATTTTTTGGAATTTTTTTTTACTAAAAAATAAATTTTTTTATTAGTGGTGCACAGCGTTACGAGCAATTTAAAAAGGGTACATAAAAGTTCTAAGTTTGGGAAACACTGCTATAGAATATTTTTCACTGCGTACTCAATAGTTTTGGGACCTTTCATAAATGATGTGACATATTTCAGCATACCCCCCCCCCTCACACCCATATCAGTCTTTTAAACATATGCACACAGATCAGAAACACTTTATCGACACATTTTATTTTTAACAATGACACGTTTGCTTTTTTGAAGAAAAAAAAATATTTGTTGTTGTCGTATGCATTAAAGCAGAGGGGATGCGCTTCTTCTTGTTTTCCCGTGGCGCCATCTATGACCCAAATTTGACTTCTGCCGCACACATACGTCTCAACCCATTTCACAGGGTGGGTCCATTTATAAATCCATTCATTCATCCACAGATCGTAACTTTGACCTGAACCAGAGAATGATCCATCTCCAATTCAGTACTCTCAGAGGTATGATTTGTTATGAGAACATGGAGGACTTTGTGACCCGTCAGATTTATAATACACCAGTCACCATTTACTACACGGGGAGGGTTCGGCCGACGGGGATCGAACTCTCGAATGGTCCCAATGCCCTACCCGCCAGACTATCCCGGCCCAGTAAAATATTCAATTGGTGTATTTAAATTTGAACAAAATGCCTCTGTTCTTGTTCCCTTCGCCATGTCAGGACCTCCAATACAAGCGTTATGGACTTTTTCTCATATTAACTAGATTTTGTATTTGAATTGGGAGATAAAAAAGAATTTTGTGATTAGAGTCGTGATTTGTTAAGAAATTGTTTTTAGAAATATATCTTTTTGAACCTTAGAGAGCAAGTTAAAATCATGTGTTTATTTTCTTAGTATGGTTTGAACCTACAGACCTTAGCAAAGCTCATCGCCCTTTCCTGTCTTCTACATTGTGGAAATCAGCCTTGTCATATGCCACCCCAAACATGAATGAACTCAGAATCATGTACAACACTATTTTTGATAAAAATGTGCCACTCTCATCAGGTATGATCAAGTTGTTCATTTGCTTCAATGTTTTCTTTTTTTCAAATCTGTTTTTTTTCCCCCTTATTCAAGTCTTGAGAATAAAAGCCTATTTTCGAGGGCTCGAATCATGTTGACTTTTTCTACCGCTATAATTTGTGAACCAATGTAGTTTTTACATTACATTATCAAGTATTTTTTTTTCCGCTTTAGTTTCTTGGAATCAGTGATTGGAAAAACTACATTTTTTTTGTTGTTTGCTACAACTACTTTGTAACAAATGTAGTGAATTACAACTACTTTTTTTTAAAAAAAAATGTAGTGACAACAAACTACTTTGGAATTTAGCAACTACTTCACTACTTAAAGGAGACGAACTTAGCTGTAGTACTTAATTCTTCACCCATATTCAAAATGGTTTTGAATAGGAAATTGGCTTACATTAAATGTAAGGATATAATAAAGAACTATTTATTCATGTTTACAGGAGCCAGTTAGTTATTCCGAAACATTTTTTTTTTCCTTTTTCGAATGTGTTCATTTAACCTTCAACTTTTTATGTCTCTTTCGACAGCGAATATATAATTTAAGAAAGGCGAAACTATCAAATAGTTGGAATTTATTAATTGTTTAATTCTCTTTTACTTCCTCTAAGAAATTAAATGCATCGAAAATGCGTTTCCTTCTTTGAAATAACATCCATGTTTCACGCAGGGGCCCCCATCAGGGGGAAAGGTGGGCGCACAATGCGCCCACTTAAAGCTAGGGGGGGATTTTTACACTAAATAAAACGAATAGTTTTTTTTTGGGGGGGGNTTTGGGGGGGGATTTAGAATTTGCCCAAGAATGCGCCCAAGAGCTTGGGGGTCACTGGTTCACGAATCTGCATTCGTATGTGAAAGTGTGACTGAAGTAATTAATTATCTATTTTTCGCAGTTTACACCTGATTTTAAATACGTAATATCTATTAACACTATTAGTGATATTACCAGGTCATTTTCATTCTATCCTTTGACGGAACGGCGAAGATTTGTGCCCGTCAAATTCGAAAAATGAGATACGTTAGAACCGTGTAACTATTCTAAACTAACGTTAAAAGTAGTTGTCAGGAATAGCTACAAACTACTGTTTTTTTTTTTTTTTTTTTTTTTTTTTTTTTTTTTTTTTTTTTTTNTTTTTTTAAATTTACTACTACACTACTCACTTTATTACTTTCTTTTTTTGAAAAAAGTAGCACACTACACTACAAACTACGAAATAAAAAAGTATCGACTACAGTAGTTTCACTTCACTACTTGTCATGAGCTACTTCCGACGACTGATTGGAGTTATTCATTTCACATTTCATATTTACCTTCTAATACACTGATAGTGAAAATGACAGCAATGAATAATTAAAACTTTTACGACTGTTGTTTACCCCCAGAATTTTCGTTTTTTTTTAATATATTAAATCAAATTACTTTTTTTTTTTTGTAAATAATAATTTCTTACGAAAAATGAAAGATTGCATTCAAACACAAGAGGATTTTTTTTTCTTTATTGATTGAAGATTACAAGGAAAATAAAGCAATGTTTATACATAATTAAACAATTTACATTTCACAATAAGAGGTAATTAAATGTAATGAAATAAAGACATTAGCTGTTTTTGCAGATAATACGCGAATAGAAATGAATGTGAAAAAGAGTCCAAATAATGGAGAATTTAAGTGGCATTTCTTGTTTTGTTTTTTCACTTTGTTAAGCTTCATTAAAACACTTTCTTCACTTGTTAGCTAATTGTGCATATTTGCTTGAATGTCGGATATTTGGAATCGTTTTCCAGTTGAAATGAATGAACTTCATAAAAGGAAGAGAAAAGGTGAACACCTTTTTTTTTTTATATATAACCAAAACGATTCTAGCAATGTCAGATTTTCGAATGTTGAGTTTGAAACTTCTGCGTTTAAATAAGAAGCGTGCACAAAGTGAGAGTGAAGCTCGCCGGTTAAGTTCATTTCAGCGATTCAGGGGAAGAAGGTTAAGAAAGTTGTAGCCAAAGAGAATCGGGGGAAGTGAATTCTATAAAAAAGTGAACTTTTTCCAGCCAAACCACCCACTCATCCTGTTGAAATGATAAGACTCTTTTACGTACACTTTCCCAGATCTATGTTTTCCATATTTTTGTCTTGCAAATCCATTAAAAATTGGAATTTCTTGCTATACATCTCATAGACTTGGCTCCTTTTGTTTAAATCCATAATCAGCTTATCCAACGCAACGTTTAGCGTGTCTCTTTTAAATTCTTCTGCGCCGTATACTGAGAGTTTATCTGTAGACTTATCTGAAAATTTTGGAGTAATGCGTCTCTTGTTTATGTCATTGTAGTCTATTCCCACACTAGTACTTAATTTTTTAGCTTTCTCTTCGTAGTCCTTTAGCTTCTGATCTGATTGGTGCCTTATGTTGTTCACGAAGTCCTTTAATGATGCAATTAACTTGTTGCCTTCACGTGTCAACCACACTAACATTGATTTCTTATGTTCATTAGAATTTTCATGATTTTCTAAACAAGTTCCTATGTGTTTCCAATCAGAAAATCCGGTTGTGTATTGAGAAGGGATTTTAGAAAAAGTTTGCAAGTCATACCAACCCTGGTTGAATAATATAACCAAAATCTTTCCAGTGATTGACCATTTTTCATTTTCTTAATGAAATACGTATTTGAAAATTTTCTGTTTTGTTCTTTGTATTTCTTTATTGAAGCTGATTATATATTTTTCGGATCTTTATTTTAAAAGTTAGTCATTTCATGTGAGAGTATGTCATTAATAAAATCATTATTTAGCAATTCTGGCCACAAGCCCACGTCGACATATTTCTCAAACTTAATATTCTTTAAATTTCTTTCCGCCTCGATATTACCGCCCTCTTGCTGAACACCAATATAGTTTTCAGTGGGATCAGAGGGTTTATGGTAGTCAAGACAGTTATTAGTAAACTAAACAAGTTTGTCATTGACGATGAGAACAGAAGTGCGGGGAAAAAAAAATTACGTCGGGTGTTAAGCGGCGCTGCGGAAGTCCGCCGTAATAGACGCGAAAAAATACACTGACCAAAAACAAGCGACGGGTAATTCCCCGTTCCGTTCGATAGACGCGCACATGCATGGGTTGATTGATCTCAGGGTTGCCAACCTTATAATTTTTTATTTTTAATATTAGATATTTTTTTTAATTCAAAATATCACCTATTGTTTTCAGTGGGGACTGGGGCCCTTTGT